AGACAGACAGAGAGAGGGACAGACAGAGAGAGGGACAGACAGACAGACAGACAGACAGGAGGTATTACAATGCCTTTGCCTGAATATCTCCAAGTCATGTATGTGTGTGCGTGTATCAGTGTCTCTGTGTGTTTATCAACTGCACTAATGAGCTCATATCAATCACCTGTGTGCCTACCAGCATTAAAGGTTGCACGTACACAGGCTTTACATGGAGTTAAAGCTGAGGAAAACCTGTCAAACTATTTTTTCAAATAGCTCCTATTGCTTCGATATCAGAACTTGAGAGGAAGGATGACTTAAAGAACAGATAATGTGAGAATTGTGTCTGTAGTGTAAAAAATATGGCTTCATTGGCAAGATGTTCTTGAAGTCAGAATTAAAATTGGTCTCTACGGAGCAGATAGTTGGACTCTCACTTTCAGGCTGCTGTGGCAAAATGTGTAAATCTGTTGGATTCGATTGTCATATGTCTACGACCAGGACACGATTAGCTACACTTTCACCAAAAAAATGATGCATGAAGAGGGAAAATTGTGGAAATGGTGGCAAAATATAAATATTTCTTTCACGAGATTCTGAAGTTCCTCTTCAGAATGACATTCTGAGCTGCGCAATACACACCCATTATAAACTCAGAAAAAAAGCATAAAACATAAGCTTAGTCGGAATCAGCTCATTCTGAATCAACATTCCAATGAATAAAATTGCAACATTCTGGAAGTGGATTTTCACAGATTTCATAAACTATTTGAATAACTAGAAATATTGGCAAGCAGTAACCATCAACTGCCAGACTTGTATTGTTTCTCGTTTTTTTTTTTACCAATCTTCAAAACAATGATACATAAACCTTTTCCTGCCAATCAGTATTCTCTACAAGTTGTGTACAGAATAATAGATAAGTACTGGGGGCTCCAGCGCACTCAGTTTGAAACTTCATTTGGCATTTCTACAAAGGACCTCACATTTCCCAGCAACAGATGAGGAGCAGGGATCTTTAGAAACCAGATACCTTCATTACAAATACCATCCAATCATATTTGGAAAACTATACTCACATTACAGAAGCAACAAACAGCCAAGATTATGTATTTGTGGTCATTTATTTCACTGTATGAAGCATGTATTTAAGTATCACATACTGGTGTTTAATGTGTTTTTTTCTTTACTAGCCTAAACTAACTAGTATACATGTTTTTGTAGTTCCCCAAAAATATAATTAGTGAATTTAAAGAAGTGGTACAGTGTGGGCCCGTAACTCTGCCTGCTCAAGTCACATAGAACATTTAATCCAGTATACAGAACATTTGTTAGAGGAAGAATAAAATACACCGGCGACATACAATCGGTTGATTTAAAGATGAAATCAGAAGCAGTATCTCATTTCTCATTTTCATTAGGAGATTTAGACGTCATAGCAGAAAAGGCTCAGGCCTAACTTATACTGACTACCGGACTCATTCATGTTATTAGATCCACCTGTACGTCTCTGATGGCTTCTGACTTTCATTCCTGCAGATCTTGATTTTGTAAATGAAACAGTTTTAAAAAAAAATGGATTATATATATATATATTTGGACTCAAAGGAAACCACGACGGAGGATCGCAAGTCTATCGCTGTCAGATCAATTACTATTTTACTTCAGAGTTCTCCAGCAGGACGTAGGAGTAAGAGTCTCCCGCACCCGGGAACCAGTCCCTTCACAGTCGGCGTGATGTTTTGCTGCCTCTGTGTGGCCAACGGCAGCACCTGCATAACAAGTCCCTGAACACTGCTACACACACTATCCCAAAGCATGTCTTTATTATATCCTAAATATTTTGCACACAAATCAACTCAAACACAACTGGCCAGCGATCGAGTTTACTACTTTTTAACACACATTTCACCTCAATAAAGCAGACTGATGAAGTGAGAAGAGAAGTTAAACACAACTCATTGTAGGATTCAGGGACGATCATGAAAAGTAAAAATACAAATAATGATCAAATAAAATAAATAATAGTTCTCTACTGATCTGTGCTATAAATGTAATTTCTGTATGATTCCAATCATTTCAAGCATTTTTATAATCCACATCGCTGAATTTGCGGATATCCTGTTCAAACAGAGCGGAAGACACGCGAGGTGAGGCAGGGACGAGCTGTGCCTCACCTCAGATTGTGCAATCCCTCACAAACTGGGTTGAGCGCGTGCCTTTTGCTTTCTCATTGTTTGTCACCACTGTAATATTTGTAGACACTTTTATTATATGTCCTTTCTTTCCATGGAATAGGTCATGTATTTCACGAATGTAATATGCTGATCTGACAGGAACCGCAGAGAAAAAGCACAGAGGGGAGGCAAACAGCGTGCCTCAATGAACGGGGCGCGTGAGAGTCTATTTTTGACGGACCCGCGCTGAAGTCGCATCAAGCTGCACAGAGCAGATCGACCCAGACAGGATGTCAGACACCAAATAGGGATAGAGCATCCGGTCATTTTTCAAAATAAAACGCTATGTGCAGCCGGATCGCGGCGCACACGCTCCCGGTGGAATCAAATATGTACCTTACCGATGTGTCTGTGTAAAGAATGCTGATATGAAATATGAAAAACAACCAGTAGTCAATGCGCAAGCTGCCAATTGAATGGTGATTCAAGCTACTCTATTAGGTTTATATATTTGTAAATCTGACTCTGAAAGAGTCAGTGCCTCACCAGCCACGAACCCTATCAGTGCACGTCACTGGTAGAGTTCTTCAAATACGCAGGTGTGGATGTCATACTAATGAATATATTAATATTAACGATGGATGAATACCACTTAGCTGTCGGTTCCTGGTATTGTGCATACTGTCTGTAGTCCTTAGTCCAGGCTAAGACATATTGCCCCACATTACTGTGGGTAGGACTTCTGTCCCTGTCACTATCAGAGGACATCATATTCAAGTTTATAGCGAGAAAACTCAACATCAATTTGATCATAAGGATTATAAAGGTCCAGATGCCAAAAAAGTAGACACAAAAAAAACTCTGCTGCTGTAACAGCAGTAACAGCAGTAAATGCAATGTGTCCCCCTGTACAGCCCACTAGAGGTTATTATATAAATGAACAGCAGAGGGCAGCCTTCTATAAGCGGAGACGCATAGCTTGAAAGACACCTGACCATGCATGTGGACATAACATGACTTGTAATGATGCTTATTGTTTTTATGCCAATGAATATTGTAAATCACGTAATGCCAGTGTTGGTGTATAAAAGCACTACAATTACAAGATATTCAGTGTCCCTCGCCTCAGACGGTGGATCACTGTGTTCTATAACATGCTGAAATTGTGGTACGCAAAAGCTTTGTTAGATGTCAGCGTCACTGTCTGTGTTACAAACGTGGCCAAGGAGACGATTTAAAAAAAATACTTGTAAGCCCTTGTGTTCGACTGAGGCATGTTTTGTCACGCAGTGCTGAGAATTGTATCAAAACAATAACATAGTGTCATCAGTGCCAGCAGACCTGCAGAAACTAACTGAAAGCACAAACTATAGCTGAGTGAATCGTGTAGAGTGTGGAGGAAGAGGTGATGACAGACATATTTGTAAAAGTACTTTTATTTTCGGAGCCCTTAAACACATAACAGACAATTGCATCGCTGAGGAAAAAGAAAAAGATACATATTGAGCGGCAATTCTGTTTCAAGTACAGCGGATCAACCATTGGTTGCAGTGGATTTCTTCATTCTTAGAAAAAAGTCATATCTTCCACAAGAAAATAGGTTGTTTTCCCCAGAAAACACTGAGCTGGAAATGACATTTGATGTGAATGAAAGGAGAGTGACGTTACACTTGATTTGTGGGATCCTTGGAAAATGAGCTTTGGTACCTGAATTTGTGAGCATTGCTCAAGCAAACCTTCACAGAGGAAAGGTAAAAGTGTGGAACGTAGGCCACGCCTACACAGTTTAGCAAATATATAACTTCTATTGTAGAGATTAAAAACGTCAAAATAGAACGAAGAAATATCAATAAAAACAAACAAAACCCTGACCTGATTTGAGTAGTATCAAAGATATAAGATGTAAACATTCCGGAATACAATTTACATATGTACAAAGTTCTGGGTCCTGCCCACAGTGAGCCCCCCCCCCCCCCTCCCCCATTTGGGAAGCAAATACGCATTGTTGTTAAGGCACTCACTCACAATCAATAACTTATTTCAGAGACAGGACGAGGACATGTCTTAAATAAAAACTACTATAATTTAGTCAGTTCAAATATCCACAGGTATGTACAAAAAAAAAAAAATAAGACACCAGCGTTCATTCTGTTTTTCCTGATGGAGAGGCACTTGGCTTTTTATAAAACATAAGAGGAAGATACGTGTGGTACCTCAGGGCACGATCAGGGTGCTTTACACTCTCAACCAAGGCACCCCACATATACTGCGGTCCCCATAGGGACGTTTTGTTCCATGGGTCTGGACCAGGAGCCGACCCGCGCTTCTTCTGGGATGTTCCGGGCATGACCCCGTGATGGATCTGGATGCTTTAAGTTGTAACGTGGCCTACATGTGCCTCTTCATGTGGAGAGCCAGATGATCTGAGCGGGAAAACGCGCGCTCGCACATGTGACACTGGAAAGGTCTGTGCCCGGTGTGCTTTCTGAAGTGCCGGGTCAGCTCGTCCGACCTGGCGAACTTCCAGCCGCAGCCTTCCCAGTTGCAGTGGTAGGGCTTCTCTCCTGGGAGATACAAGCAAAGGACTTTGTTTACATTACAGTGCAAGAGCAACAAGAATGAATCAAAATAGGGCGAAAAAAATGACAATTTAAATAGACTTTGTGTTAAAAAAAATGTGCTCACCTGTGTGTGTTCGCATGTGGGCTTTGAGGTGGGAGCTCTTGGTGTAGGTTTTCCCGCAGCCTGAGAACTCGCAGCTGTGCGTCGCGGCGCGTTTTCTGGCCCACGACCTGCGCCCTCGCTTTTGTTTGATGCTCAACGCCTCCTCCTGCGCGTAAAACTCCAGCAGCGAGGGCGACGAGGGAGGGGTGAGCATTATGCCCTGCATGGATGCGGGATGATGCTGCTGGTGAACGCGGACGGGCTCTCGGTGCGCGCTGTACTGTCCTTGAAACTGCGCCAAGCTCTGGTGCGCGTACTGCGGCTGGTAGGGCGCGTTCATGTACTGGTTTTGGAGATGGTGCTGATCGGGATGAGTGTTCATTTGCGCCAAATGGCAGTCTGTGCGTCCCTGGGGTGCAGACTGCTGCATGAGGAGCGCGCCGAATCCCGGCATAGTGCCTGGAACTGCAGCCTGGTGGTGCGTAAAAGCTGTTTGGTGCACGGGGCGCATCTGGTGTCTCTCGTACATCTGTCCCATAAATTCCCCGCCACCGGCGGCCATCATGCAAGACTGACCGACGGGCTCACTTTTAATTTTGTATCCAAGCGGCGGAGGAGATGCGGTCACTTGGTGATGAGCGGGGACCGGATTAAACGCCCGCAGTTCGGTGTACTCCCGCCCGTCTCTCGCCTTCCCCGCGCACTCCGGCGAACCCTCCCCCGGGTAGCTCATCTCTGGCGTGAGCAGCTCCGCCATGAGACTGCGGACCGGACTCGAGACCGCGAAGCCCACCGCGCCGTGGTAGCTCTGCGCGGCCAGGCCAGCGGGAGGGTGGCCGCGGTCGCCGCAGTCTGGCGCGGAACCACCGCCGCAGCTCTCCGGCGACTCCGGCAGGGAATAAGCGCACTGCTGCGGTGGAGAGACACTCCCGCTGTTGCTCACGACGTCGGAGTTTATGGTGTTGGACAAAATGAACTCGATGTCCAAGAACTTCCCCAGCTCGTCGTCGTCTTTAGGGAGCGCGGCGGGGGACCGCACGATTCTGAACTCCACTCCGCCACCTGTTGCGCCGCCGCGTGCGCACTCGTCCACCTTGCACATCTGTTCATGGGGGAGCAAACGGGGAAGTTAAAACCAAGCTTCTACTGCGCCAGCAATCAGAAATACCTCCACAAAAAAACATGTAAAGTTGAGATGAAATCCTCTACTTACATTTTCGAACTGTTTTGCGTCCATGGCTTGAACGCTTGGAAACGAGGCAGGCATCATCGCTTCAGCCAGAGCCATGCTGACCGGTTAGATGATACAAAAACAACTAAAGTTTAAAACTGTAAACACGAACAGAAACGTTGCTCTATAAGTCCATGTAGCGTCTGTCCGGTATGACGTTGACAGCTGCAGAGCGTTTTCACAATGTGAGCATCAACAGAGCTGATGCTCTTATAGCGCCTTACAATACGTGGAGGCGTGGCTTCTACTGACACATGCTTACCCCCCCTCCTTCCCTCCACGGCAACCAAATATGCAAACAAACATTAAGCATCCAGGTGCGTCACGCAGGTAAGTCACTTAAGTGCACCAAAACAATCACCCATGATTTTTTGAACGCTGGAATGTGAACGAAGCCAGAGGGGTTATTGTAAAATCTGCATGTTTTCTAACTGTTTTCTCCATCACTGAGTACTTAAAAACTGTGTAAGTAAGTGAGGTGTAAAAATAGAATTCTACTCTCTTTCCCTCGAGGCGGGTACAGGGGGCGACACTAAACCTGGCGACGGCCAGGGAGTGCCATAAAGTCAGAATTCCAGTGCGTAACAGGTCCTTGAAGTGGCCTGATCCTGTTGTGTTCAAGTCCCCGTGCTTTATGAAATAACGTACCCCCCTCAGCAGTTTCAAACACGCACGCGCAGCCGCTCGCGCCTCATTAATTTGTGCCCAGTTGATCCCTGGACGTTTATCGCACACACCGAACGTGTGAAGCGGCGGCTCATCGAAACAACCTGCTAATCTGGTTGTCAACAAAGGAACACATGTTTCTTAATGATCTCCCCCCCCCCCCCTGTGAGTCCCATGCAGTGGGTATGCAGGTGTTCAGTGGACGGGTGTCGTTGAGCCATAAAACTGGTTTCACTTTTTCAGTTTGTTTTCCCTCGAATGTCCGCATTTTATTCAGTGAATTAATACTTTTTGTAAATGTAATTTCTCACCATCAATGTCTAAAAAGAGCATCAAAGCATTATTCTCACCAACACTTAAAGATCATATAAAAATAGAAAGAAAATATAAAATAAATAAGGGGGGGTACAGAAGGTTTTATATTTATTTCGGTGGTATTAAAATGCATTACATAAAACATATACTGGAATCATTTAAAAAATGCCGTTGGTGTATAAATTGTATAAACCTCCAGGTTGCTGAAAAGCTCCAAAACGCAGGAAAAACACCATGTGTTATACCACTGCTCCATCTTCATCAGAATAGATGGAGTCTTAGTTGTTGCAATAAACTGCATTAATCATGAAATCATGAAAAGAAACAGAAGCAAATCTAATGAGCATAACTATACATGTTTTATCAACTTCTTTCATTCGTGCATGGACTAGCTAACATCCCTCTGTGGTCTAATGGAGATAACATACTGTACATTTCTGTGTCTGGAAATTACTTTTCAGGAAAACAGGGAATATATATTTGTTCACATGTAGCACGTATAAAATATATAAAACATGTAACAGGTTTTATAACGTCAGAAAAAAAGAAAAAAAAGTTGGTTTGTTTCGTGATTATCATTCTTATCTTTTAGAAAACTATGAAGAATTAAAGCTTGTGTCAACAAAAAAACTGGTTAAAGAAATAATAATAAGTAAATACAATAATAATTTTTGACAATATGAAAAAAATAAGTCATTCTTTCTTTCCTATAGGTGTTGATAACGTCCCTTGTCTTGAAGCATATTTCATAAGATTGGGCAACTGAGTTGGGTTTTAAATCAAAGCCAAATAGAGTTAATGCGAGCGGTTTTGTCTTTCCCTCTGTCTCTGTGCAGCCGCCGGTGTTGTGAAACAGCAGTGTGCTGCAGCTCTCTGCCTTTATACTCTGGTATTTTTAACCAAACAGCGCTTACGCAGAACAAGTTCCGGTTCTGTCCACGAGCCAAGTGGAAATGGACTCCGTTTCCTGAGGAAACACTAGACACTTGCTTCCTCTACTTGCACTCTGCAGCCATCCTTTAGATGCCTGGCCGAGGATACAGACATGCATGTAGCAGGAAAACGATCATATTTCTTTGGGGAACTTTGTTCTCGGTGTTATCGGCAGTGTCTTTATCTCAAGGCATATTCCTTGTCTGGTTTGTGGTGAACTAATTGTTCTACTGAACCTCTTTTATAAGCCTTTTAGAAGTCTTAGTATCCTTGATATCAAAAGTAAAACCCACTGAGAAATGCTACGATCTCCTCCCGTCGAGCAAACTATCCTTTATCTTGTTCCATCAAAGTCCTTATCAAACCTGGTCATTTAAAAAGCAACTAGCCAAGAATAGAGAGTCAGATCCAGATAAAGAACTGCCCTGGGCTCAGGTTTCTCCTTTTGTGACTCGCTGTTCTGAAAGGGAGGAAGTCTTTCAGCTCAAGTGTTTTCTAAACACAATTATTTACAGTGAAGCAGGCAGACAGACAGCCAAGGCATCTCATCCTGGATACACTGAAATGTTTTCAGAGTAAAGATTTTCAAAGAATGTTTTATCTGGTTTAATTGTTTGTTTTTTCTAGAAGTCTCAAATTGTATTCTAGTTTTTAGCCCCCGGTAACTTAAACACTTTGCAAGATATGTCTTATTCCGTTTTCTGCTTCGTTCAGAAAATGTTTTGTTGCTTTTAATTCAAACGTTCTTTTTTCATTGTGAAAGAGGTGATTTGCATAAGCACACGTTAGATATATGCGTTTATGGTGTACTCCAACTCCTTCCCTCTATCTTTGTTCTTCCTCTGCCATTTTTGTGTTGATACGACACAATTAGCAGCCTGTCCGTGGTTAACTTAATGCAGGGTTTCCCAGGGGACGGCTACTTCAGCAGTTGCGAAGGATTACGAGGAAACATCTATCTCAACTAATTTAAAAAGAAACATTGATTTAAAACGAACAGCAGAGAACGACTGTGTTGCTATTGAGTATGTGGAAAGTAGTTAGCAAGCAAGCAGAGGTCTAAACAGTTAGCTAAAAGTACATACATGGTTGGAGTAGATGTCTAAAAGTAGGTAATATCACTTAAAATAGTTAGCTAAAAGTAAATAGTGAAATAGATAAACTCAGTTGAAAGAGCTAGCTAAAACCGATGGATAAATGATTAAAAATAGTTAGCTAACGTTAACTATGAGCGGCTGGCTCATAGCTAACGGTGAGCCAATCAAAATGCTCCCAATCTCGGCTCCTGCATCTTTAACAAAAATATGTATTACACGGCTTGAATCACAGCTACAAGGTTAGCTTAAAGTATACAACAGTTGAAATAGTTAGCTAAACGTAATAATGGATAAATGGTGAAAAATCTAAGATCAAAAGATAGACAGTTGGCTAAAACCAATGGATACATGTGTGACAATAGTCAGCTAACAGTAGACTGTTACACAGCTGAAATAGTTAGCTAGAATTAGCCTAATGGTAACATGTTTAATACTTAGCTAACAGCAATGGATAAACCTGGTTACGCCTCAGTGGTTGAAATGTCCAGCTTCTGCCACACCAAATGAAAACTTGTGACTTCCATGCAAATGCTCACGTGAATGTGCTGTACAACCGCTGTCACTCTCTCATTTAGGAACATGTCCACACAGCGTTTCTGTGTTCCTGTCCAAACAGTAGCTGTGCTCAGAACAGCCAGGAGCAATCAACTTTGCAGAATGTGGGGACACATAGACACACACACACACACACCAACAGGAATTATCCTCCATCACCCGCAAAGCGAGGGGAAACCCAACTGTTATCTTGGATAAATACGCCGCCTTGCATGGCATGAAAAAACCAACAAAGTGATTAAAGGGAAAAATCAGAAAGTAAAACTACAGCGCGGAGACGGACTAGTTACGTTCTAGAAAGACATCAAAAGGAGTTGGGGAGGAGAGGAAATAGGAACAAACGCCAACCGAGGAGAAGAACCATGGGAAAAAAGAACAGCAATAACAACGGCCTGAAGCCCTGTAATCATATTTGTGCTCATCCTGAGGCCAGACTTTGACGCCTGTTGGGTCAAACAGTCTGCAGGGGTGGAAGACTCTTTGTGTGGGACTGGACTGGGTTAGAAATGACTGAACACGAGTCCTTAAATATTTCAGATCTGAGCCTATCAGGTGGCTAATTTAACATAATCCCATATGCTAACTACCCTTCACTTGTTCTGTCAAACAAAAGATAATTGCCCTGCTGCCGTGTTTAGCTACCGATGGTGCTAAATGGCTTAGCCTTCTCCAGTAGGTAAAGCTCACGGGGGCTAAAAGGGTTAGTAGCATCCAGCACTAATGAAGCCATTAGCGGCTAGCTGTTAGCCTAATGAGATCAGGGGTCCACATACACTTACGCATGTTGGCTGATTTGCGTAGCCTATCTTGTGTGTGTGATTGGGATCAGATGTAATTAGGAGCTGGAATGATAATGAAGAGCCACTGAGTAAAGAGAGACCATTTGTGCTTTATCAAAAGTCACTACGTCCTTTTCTTCATCAATCTTGTATCCTTTACCTATCATTTGTCTGACAGATTGTACTACAATCATTACTTTTAGTCTCTAGCCATTTGTAACTGTTTTATATACAGAATGTATATATAAATTCAAGATAAATGTTAGAAGTTTTGAGGCTTCTTTGTCAACTTGCTACACATGCCACTTGATCAAAAACATCTTTTTAAGTAAAAACAAAATTTAATTGCAGATCATTGATGATCCATATCGTCAGATACAGATCCCTCTGTTGTTTGATTATAGCAGCTGGTCTACAAGGCTCCAGGCTTTTTTCCCACCGTCCCAAACATGATTTCAACTGCTCGGAAGTCAAAAATTATAAATGTTATCCTTTTATTTTGTTATAGTCATTGTCATTGTGAGAGTCATCAAGTAGTATCAAAACGTCTCCAGTAAATATATACCTGCAATCACTTTTTTTTTCCCCAGATCTAGAAAAAAAACTACTATTTTTATGGTTTTGCTCGCAGCCAATCACCTCAAGAGCCTTTGATATTAGTGTGACGTGTCACTGGCCCACTACACCAGCAGCTATCACGCATACAGCCGAGAATGAATGCCTGCCTGCACACGGCTCTGAAAATGGAGATTCCGGCAGCTAGCTGCTCACGATGCTACCAGCACGAACAATGCTAACAGCGGCAACGGTGCTGACAAGATAACAATT